GTTGATACTAGGCATGTTCGGGTTATGGAAGGCCACGAAACCCAAAAATTAAAGTTTGTAGCTTTATTTGCATATATACAAACTATTTAGAAATTTTTTTGCTTAATGTAAAAAAGCCGTAATATTACGTAAAAAATTTCGAAATATCTTATATAATATTTTGTAATTTAATATTTCGCAATATTTCGAAATTTCTTACGTAATATTATGGCTTTTTTACGGTTCGTAAATTATTACGAAATATTACGGTCTTATAAATTTGCTAATGTATTTACTTTCACTCTTCTGCCGATCTTTTAAAATTTTTTCAAAAAAAAGTGGGATTTGGCTTACCTCCTCCAAAAAATCGGCATTGTTTACATTCCAAATTCGGATAGCCTATTAGACTAAACCATGTGTTTTATAAATACGGCGCCTCTATACAGGATCAGGCCCTGGATAAGAAACTCCTAATAAGGAAGAAGATACTCCTAATGGTGGCAGCAGGTGGCTTGAGATATGGGTTTATAGACGGCGGCAGCACCTAGCTTGAGATACAGATTAGAACAGGCTGGAGCGAAACTATCCGGAGTATATCGAATAGTTAGAAAGAAAAACCCAAAGTTAAGGTAAAGCTTTACAATAGAGATATACAAATGTTGCATATAGTATATAATTTTTTTCAGCCTTGCACAGGTTATAATAGTGCACTTCTTTCATTTTCTTTTTTTAAAATGTATATCATGATACCTTGTCTTTTTTTGTGCTTTTTCCATCTTCTTCCCTTTACGATGGAATCAGATTTAGAACATACTATTCTTAATATGTTTTCTTTTTTTCTTTTCTTTTCTTTTTGTCTCTTTCTTTCCTAAATTTTGTTTTTCTTTGATAAATTTGGCATATGGTATTCCCTTATAGAAAAGTAAGAGATAAACTATTCTGCCTGAATCTAGGCAGGAAAAGTTTTCAAGAAGAGATGGGTAGTTATGACGGGCTAGTAGATCCCGGCCGGTGATTTGTGAACTCTAAATTTGAGATGGATTTAGATAAGCAAGGAGGTTGCTTCTGCTCTGGCATGTCGCACATAGGTCCAAATAGAAACTGAGTGAATCGTACTTTAGTACAAAGCAGCATAGCTGTAGTGATAAATTCAAATATAAAATTTGTAACATCTACGTTTAAGTAATAAAGTTGTAGTATGACTGCTTGTTTGCAAAAAAAAAATAAAAATAAAAATAAATGATAAACTAATATTATATTTTTTCTTTGTGTCATTTATATATGCATTCCTTTTGAAAAGCTTCTACATATTGATACATATTTCTTTTATCCAAGATATCTATAAAAAGATATACTATTAATTAATAAATAAAAAAAGTTGTAAATTAAATTTTTTAAATAAAGTAGTATAATTTTTTTTTTTTTTGAAAGTGATTTTGTTTTTAATATATTTGATTAAAAGCAAAATTTCTATCTTGTTTTTCTTATAGTGAATAATGAAAATATCTATAGTGAACTTTCTAAGAATGACAAATTTTTTAAGAATAATAAATTTTTTTAAGATTATGAATTTCCTAAAGATGATGAATTTCCAGAAGATAATGAATTTCCAGAAAATGGTGAATTTCCAGAAAATGATGAATTTTTTAAAGATAATAAATTTTCCAAGAATAATAAACTTTCTAAGGATAATTCTTCTTTTTATTACAAAACTAATAATCTATCAATTAGTTCTAGTAGTAGAGCTGTTTTTGCAGTTCATGTAGACAATCAACCTCCTATAACAAAAAAAAAAAACTAAATAGACAGAATTATAAAAAAAATAGTTAGATATAGAATATTTTAAGTTAAGCAAAGACAAACAATATAATATATATGATGTTGAAGTAATAAATTTAAAAAACTAAAAATTAAATGTAGCTATAAATATCTACACAATGGTAGTACAGAAAATATAAGTAGCTATCTCCAAAATAAACATAATTTATGTGAAAATAAAAATAAAGTTAGTTTTTATTTATTATTATTATTATTATTATTATTATTTTTAATATTAAGGTAACTACTTAGATCTCTAGCATTTTATTAGTTCAAACGGGTAGGCCATATGTTTGAAGACTGGCTTTACATATTACATCAGTATTATGAGAGTATAACTAGTCACATGTACAACTTTTAATTGCCTATTTAAGTAGCCTGCTCGAAGCATTAGTGCTATACTAAGGATACTATACTAGATATCATATCTATAGCCTAACTAGAAAGCTATCTATTTAAACTCTCTAGTGTCAACTGATATTACATGTTTCCTCCTAATATACCTCTTTTAAGAAGTAATTTACCATATAAGACCCTAAAACTTTAGCCAACAACAGAAGGCATTTATTCTTGTAGTAAACACAACAAAGTTATGCATATCCCACACATATATTCACCTACTTGTTCGGTAATTTCTTTCTAATTAGTATCTGTTGTTTTTATTAATTATTGTTAAATATATAATGCAATTAATATTAATAATAATTCAATATAATTTACTAAACTTTTTCTGATAATCATTTAAACTAAAAATTTCCCACTAACAGAAAAACAAATTTTTGTTGGAGAGTCATGATTGACATAGTGGTTTGTCTAGAGGTCAATGTTTACTTGGTGGGACTCCTTTAAAAGATGTTTGGTATGTAAGCCAAGAGCGTTACTATACAAGTAGGATCCCGAAGAACTCTGATATAACTCATATATTACCAAAAAAGAAAATTTTGCATAGAAAATTATCAAACATTGCTTTTTTATATAGTAAATTTTTTAAATTTTGCTCTATTTTATATATCTATTTGGCCAAATTTATATGAACTTAGATATAGGTTATATCAGAGTTCTTCAGGGTCCTATACAAGTTAACTAGCAAGATAACAATAAATCTAGAGGTGGCGCCTTTGTATATAAAATCTTGGTAGAGTAGGGCAAAGCCCAACTTTGTCAACGAAACTACTTGACTATTAACAAAAACACAGAGAATACAACAAAATTTTGGTTTTTCCAAGCCACACTCTTTTACTTGGATAAGTGGTTCTCCTCTTTACTTACTCTCACTTCCCTATTGGTCTTTCAAATTTTTTTTCAAAAAAGTGAGAGATTTGGCTTACCCCCTCCAAAAAATTAACATTGTTTACTTTCTAAATTCAGACAGCCTAATGAATTGCAACTATGTGTTTATGGATATGGCGCGTTAAGATCGAGCTTCCGGCATAGAACTTCTAATAACGGCAGCAGGTGGCTTGAGATATGGGTCTATGGACGGCAGCAGCACCTGGCTTGAAATACGAATTAAAACAGACATGACATAATTATTCGGAGTCAATCAGAAGATTAGAAAGAAGAATCTAACATTAAGGCAAAGCTTTACAACAGAGATATACAAATGTTGTATTTGTTATATAATTTTTATACTCATCTGATACGGGTTATAATAGTATATAATTTTTTTTTTCTTTCTTTAGGTGCATCTATCAGGACTATTCTATTCTCTTTTTTTTGCTTTTTTCATCCTTTTCCTATTATGTTAGAATACTGTTTAGAATTTATTTTTTTTTCGTTTTTTTTTTTTTTTTTTTTTTTCCTGTTTTTTTCTTTCTTTTTCTAAATATAGTTTTTTTTCTTTCATAAATGTGGCATATATTTTTTTTCTTATAGAAAAGTATGAGATTAACTATTCTGCTTGAATCTAGGTAGAAAAAGTTTTAAAGTAGAAATAGGTAGTCTTGATGGGCCAGTAGAAACTTTTTAGTGAAGTTTTATTTTGCTTTAAATGCAAAAGTGAATATTATGGAGGAGAATTCTGCTTATAGCAGATCGCATATGGGTAATTTGGACTTCGGTCACAAAGAGCTAGGTGAGCTAATATTTGTAATTTAGGCATCGTAAAAACTTAACCTTTAGAGACTCATTTTTCGAAAATTTGTAATATAATATTCCAAGTCTAATAAAGTAGAGGCAAGATTGCTGAATTGTTTCAAAAAAAAAATATTAATAATAATTGATATTTAGTATAAGTAGGAATATATAAATAAGATATGGCGATTTAGTGTAGTGGTCTAGTTGTCACTCTCTTCAAGTGGCAGGTCTAGAGTTCAAATCCCATAAACGACGATATTTGAAAAATAGGCTTGTGTTTTGGTTAACGGCTATGTTTATCGGTTGGATCTAGAACTAATTTGTAACTTTAGTTACACCATCTCATAATAAAAGCTTTGGTGCAATAAATCTGAGAAACCAGCATAACCGAAAACCCATTTGGGAAGTCCCGAATTGGGAGTAGCAGTGATTTTTGACAGTACTACAGGAAAGCTGAATTCGAACCAGGGCCTGAGATCAGAGAACCGAGCGACCAGGTCCGCTAGCAGAGGACACACTAGCTGAACTGCCGGGTTGTCACATCGGAGTAAAAGGTAGGGATCTTACCCAGGTCGAAAAATAGCGACCCGGGTCAAACCCGGGTTGAACCTTTCTGACCCGGATTACAACCCGGGTCAATGAGCGATATATGCCAAGGCCAATAACTTTCGTAACTTTTTGGATTTAATTTCAGAAAAATTTCTCCACCTTGCTCGTGATTTAAGTTCTTTCATTTACCACATCGGAAAAACTGGGAAAACTAAGTAACTGACCTGGGTCGAAACAATTTTTGACCTGCCAAGATTCTGATTAGGGTGTTCAGGATTATGTGAAAGCATAATATATGCATAATTTACCTGTAAAAAAAGAATAAAATCACATAGGTGGATTGTGATTGGTGGATAAGTGTATTGAAAGATAGCTGGCATAAATTCCATAATGTTCTGATATAGATTGGTTCTGACCCGTTTGACCCGAGTAGACCAAAATTTGACCTGTGACCCGTCGGGTTGAGTAACCCATATGGGTCATTCGACCCGGATAAGAACTCTAGGAAAAGGACATACGCTCTGAAAGTATGGACCAAGAAGAGGGCGTCCTTTAGGCACCTAAAGCCTGGGCAGACCAACCCATCCAAGTTGCCGGCTGGAAGTAAGAGAGAGACCGGTAAAGAATGCGGGTAAGAAGATGGCTAAAATGCGAGTACTGAGGTTGTTGTGAACCTTATAAGGGCAGAAGTACGTAATTGAAGACTAATTAGGAAGATTGTACTTGAGATATGGATTAGGTTACAGCAGCACTCCAAAAGTTGGCTTGAGATACAAACCTGGTGGTGGTAGTACAACAAGTACTAGTTAGGAAAATATTACCGAACATGCAAGTAAAAACATGTGTGAGACATGAACTACTCTGTTAGGTTTACCTTGTAAATAGACTAGACTTAATATGGGGTTTAGTAAGTCTTAAGGTGGGTGTGAAATTTACAGGTATCGCAAAATCTACTTGTGTATAGTGAGTTATGCCTTGGTTAGGTAGAAGCCACTAGCGGTTGTAACCAGAAGGTTTAAATGGGTACCCCTCTAGTTGGGGTACAGGTACAGCAGATAGTGTAGAACCTTCAGGCAGACTACTTAAATTAGGCACTCAAAAGGTGCATATGTGGCTTGATGTACTTTTGTTATAATTGTATAATATCGTTTCTACTTAATAAAAAGTCCCTGGCCAAAGAGGTCACCTTAATACCGAAAAAAAAAAAAAAAGAATATATAAATAATATAATATTATTTAATATAAAAATAATTATTTGAACTAATCTAAACAAATTTGAGAATAGTTAGGGTTAGGGTGGGAGTTATAGTATAGTTTTTAGTTAGCTTTGGGTTAGAGTTAGAGTTTTTTTATATTAAATAATCTTATAATATTTATATATT